TACCCGGCCGGGTACAGGTAGCCGGTTATCGGGGAGGGTACGGGTATCGGGTACCCGGTTGCGACCTCTGGTAGATGGACAACATGGGAGCTAGACGGGTTGCTGCGTGACGCGACCACGGGGATGGACAGTGGCTTGGAGAGGCCCTCGTCCAGGAGTGCAGCGGCCATGGCTGACGATGATGATATCGCCCGCCCCGCCAGCTAGGAGCAGGCCTACCAAAACCCCTCCTTCCTTAACACGGGCGCCTGGTCTATTGTCACTAGAATTATGCCACCATTTTTTATAATCGCATTCACCATCTGAAAACAACGATCGTCTTATGTACAATTTTATAATCGCTGTCAAGCGCCTCGGAAAAGGCGCTGTATAAATTACGATCAGATAAGATACCATGCTCTGCTGGTGGGACTCACAGAAGACAAAACCAGTTCAAGGTTGTTGCTGCTTAAACCCAAGTGGTGGCTGTAATTATTGTTCCAGTGGGCAAATGAGGCTGCTGGACTCAACTTTTATTTTATTTGTAAGTGGTGAAAGGGACTCCTTCCCGTCTGCGTTCATAATTTTGTTCATAAATGCATTTCAAGACGAGTACCAGGATGATGATCTTGAAACTAAAAACTGTCAGCATATATTTTACGCGACAACAAATAGTGCCACAAATGTTTTTTTTCTTCCTGTCATTGTGATGGAAATATTAAATCATCATCATCATCCGCCATGGTTAATATAATGTTGTATAAGCCACTGCCACCTCTCACGATGAGAAATATTAAAAACATTTGATTGAATTGACAATCAAAACCTATCAGTCAACCAACCTGTCGCCAAAACACCACTGCCGCAACCATCAACAACCACAACAACAACGACACTCAAAGAGTTCCGAGACGACCGGCAACTACCGGGCAGCCGAGGCCGCAAGGCCAGGTGTCACCGCCCGATAGCGAGCGCGGCACCGGCGGGCGCACGGTTCCCGAGCGGTGCGCCGCCGCCGCCACCGCCGCCCTCGGTCGCGCCGGGGGCCCCGCCAATGGAAACGGAGCAATAAAACCCCACGACAAGCGGAGCAGAAAAGCCGCCGGCCTCTTTGTTGCGCACAATGAGCCGTGCGCTCGCGGGAATTATTGGGCAATGAATAACAGAGTTTTGTCCGGAGACAGCGGGAAAGGAAGGGCCGAGAGGACGCCGCGTACACGCCGGCGGTGGCGAGGAGGAGCGGATGCTCGGCCCGCTCTAATTGGCTGTCGCCGTGTGGACGGCCGGTGCAATTAGGGGGTGGCCACACACACACGGGAGCGCGCGCACACGAGCGCGCCGCACAGAGATGAAGTGTGAGCATCGCACGGGTCGTCCCTGCTCTCCCCTGCTCCTGCTGTAGCCCCCCACCCCCCCACTTCTCCCTGAACCCTCACGATGCCCCCCCCCCAACCCGCCCCCCCCAAACCTCCATCTCTGACTCCCCCTTCTCGGCTTTCACCCAATCCGGAAGGTTCCCTCGCAGATCTGAAATGGCCCCCGCGCATCGAAACGTGGCACCTATTTGCTCCAAAAAACAACGTAACGTCCCGATGCTGAAAGATTACGCCGCAAATTACTCAATTGGGATCGCACGCAGCAGAAGCATCAAAATCGGCCCCCGTACGGTGGAACAACCGCAGGCTGCGTCCGTGAGACACAGCGGTGGCGGTGCCCTCCTTCGCGATCGCCAGCGCTGCGATGACAGATCTGGTTATTTTGCTCTGACTCGCTCCCCTGAAGAATCACCTGCAGAATTCCTCAACTGGGATCAGACTGCAGTAGCAGCAGCAGCAGCAGCAACATCGCCCACAAAATGAGAAATTTGGCACGACCCTCTTGAAGAAGAGACTCGGCGAGGCTTTGCTGGGTAAACAAGCGTGGCAGCAATAACGAACGTGGGTTTGATGTGTTTTGCGGTGTGAGCATGGATGCCTTGTCGGCGTGTTTGTGACGACATCAGATGTCAGGCTACGTTGTAATTCCGTATTCCCCGCATTATAAGACGCTCCGTAAACAAACTCCAAATCTTTGCCTGGTGTCTAATACAACTATTCTACAAAATCTGGTCACACACACCTAGCGGATTATAAGCCCCACCTAAAACTTTTGCGATATAATACGGCAAATCTTCTATAAGCATAACAGGTTTTGCAATGGATGGCACATGTGCGTTATAATAGCGTGACTGACACCACGTGCGTTGTAAGCGCTACAGGCTGCGATTGACAGTGTGTGCGTTATAGGCATTAAATAGTGTGAATGGCAGCATGCGCATTTATAAGAATTATAAGAATTACATTTATAAGAATTACAGATTTTGTCACCGATAGCACGCGCATCACAGGTTGTGCATAATCCCGAGAATAAGCCATCGCTGAAGAACTGTGAAGTGTACCCAACTTCACAGAGCATGTCAAAGTGTCCATCTGGCCGTATGTAATCTACTGGGATTAGAGTCAACGGTGTCGTAGAACTGGGCCTATGGGTTGTTAAGTTAGAGAGGACAATTACTTTTTGCCGAAAGCACTTACCAAGTCTCCCAGTGCTTCTCAGCAGCACTGTGGCTTTAAGAACACGGGGAAACGCTGCAATTTATCCATGCCGACGCTTTGCACTCGTCCCTCCGTTTGATGTTTTACCAAACGTGTTCACAACAGGTGTAAAGTTGCTACTTCTGTAAACGTACGCATACAAGGTCGGGTGAATAAACAAAAAAAACGATGACAAATCAACAATGGTTTCCGTTACCGTCACTCGAAGCGCTTTTGTAAAACTGACCTTGACAATGGAAAGCCACATCCCAGTGGGGCTAATGAAGAAAGTAATCAATCAGCGACTATCGGCTGTTACGGCAAGCGGATGAGGAACGCGGACGTGATTGGAGAATACATTCAGGTTTGAGACGTCGTCTTGACAGTTAAGAGTGGACTAGAGCAGAGCGCCGTCGCCGGATGGGATGACGACGGCCGACTGACGGCGGCAAACCAAGGAGGGAATACGCCCAAAGAGGACTTCCACCATGGAAACGGGAGTACATGCGTATTATGTATGTCCGCTGAAAACTTCTTTTGCGCCGTGTGTCGCCAACCGTGCTAATCGGGAGTACATGCCGCGGGAGTATGAAACGGGAGTATGTCCGCTGAAAACTTTTTCGCGCCGTACGTAGCCAACCGTGCTAATTGGAGGTGCCGAGTGACGACATCAGCTCCGGTGTGCGGTGCGCCGGATGAATCTCGAGTCGACCACGAGAGATGGCGACTGGTTGAGGAGGCCTTCGCTAAAGCCTGCTAAACCACCGCACGCACCATGGCAGCATCGCATCTATTTTTATGAAAGCCCAGCATTCCGTTTGTCCGTCAAATAAATTATAAGAGCCTTTCAGAAGGCCTGAATCGAAAAGTTACAGAAAGTGGACCCTTCCCCTCAGATTTGGGGGTAAAATGTTGATCCCACAGGTTTCCAAAAATTGTCCCCAAACCCCCCAAAAAACCCATTATTTTGTTGGCACACCCTACATACAAGTCAGATTTATCTGCACACATTTTGTGGGGGGGGGAGGGGAATAAGAGGACATCGGTGGGGGCGACGAGCGAGGCGCAAAGCGCTGAGAAGCCCTCTGCAGAAGCCAGGATAAGGTGGCCGCAGGCTGCCGAAATTCTATCAGCTAAAAGTATGAACCAGACTCAACCCTGCTCGGGAGGGTGCGTCGCAGCGGGGATTCATTCCAGCTCGGCAACCTGAAAACTATCTCCGCACCCGGCTCACTTCACAAGGTATCCAAGTACACCTCTGGCCATGGCTGTGGCTGTTGCTGCTAGTCACGCGCCACCTACTGCAGGCCACCGGCTACCGGGACGAGACTTTTTGAGAAATTAAGCCCTACGGTGGTCGTAGAGAGTAGCGGAGAGTAGAGTGCAGCGAAGAGCAAGGGGAAGGGTAGGGGGGCACAGGAGGAGGGAGGGGGGTGGCTGGTGTCGGTCACAGAGGATCGCAGAGTGGGCAACAGCAGGGGGGCAGCGGGGGGGGGGGGGACAGGGGCAGCGAGAGTGAGCGCGAGCGAGCGAGCCACCAGCTCGGGCAGCACCGCGGTACGTCGTCACGACCGCCACGTCGCCGCCACCTTTTTCATTTTTCCCAGCGCCGCGGGCGTGGGGGGATCGGGGGGGGGGGGGGGCCAGGCCGAGGCAGCCAGCTGAACATTTACATAATCCGGCCGCCGCCGCCACACAAACGGCACACAAGCAAGCAGGGAAGTGACGCCCGGCAGGAGATGGGATCGCCGGCGCGCCGGAATGCCGCGCACAACAAAAAACCCCTCACAGCCCCCCGGCGCATTCACTCGCACGGTGCCTTTATTTTACCGCACAGGGGTGGCGCGCGGAGACACCTAAATGAGGCCTGCCCCTTTCACTCCGCAGCGGCGAGCTGAGAACCGACCGTGCGTGCGTGCCCGCCGAGCTGTCAAGGCCGAGAACGTTTTCAGTCGTCCGCCCCCACCCCCCCTGCCGCCGGAGGACTATGCGCGCAAAAAAACATTGGGCGCCGCGGCGATTTGTTTTGCTTTAGTACGCGACACGCGGAACGGCCGGGCAGAGTGCAAGCGGCGGCCAAAGTTAGCGGTCAGCACGAGGCTTGAGCGGTCCCCGTAGTCGAGGAAGTCTGGCGAGCCAGGCGCGCGGACGTGGTCGGGGAGACCCTTCGAGCAAGAAGACCTCCCCGACGCCCCCCCCCCAACGAATGGCTAAATGACGGCGATCGTTTATTTTTTTACTTTACACGGACGGGCGGGGGGCGGGGGATGTGTGGAAGAAAAATTAGTGCGGCAAAAGCGTGCCAAGCGAAGCTGGCGCAACGTCTCTGCCGCGGTGCTCTGCCAACTTCAACCCCCGCGCTCCACCACCTCTCTCTCCGCCAAACAAAATCCCAATGTCGACAAAGAGATTTCTCACCCCGCGCGATCCCCACAACGCGGTACTCACGTTGGGCGGAGTTTTCTTGAGAAGGACGAGCAGCGCCTGCAGCACCAGGTTGGAGAAGCGAGGGCCGATGGGAACGTAGTCTGCCAACGACAGCGAGCCCCGCCCCCCCCACACTCGGTGTAAGCTATGCTGTTAGCGAGCGCCTATTAAGGTCGGCCAGACCCACGAGCGGGTGGTGTGGCGAGAACCACGCCCGGCCGCCTGTGCCTCTCCAAAAGGGCCTCAGGACTGGTTCAGATATTCACCACCGACGTTAGCCGTGACCGGGAATTGAACTCCGGTTTCCGGGCTAGTAGGGCAGCGCATGCGTGTGAACACACGCGCACCTACGCGCGTGTACAAGCACAAGCACGCACACACAAAGTTATTGTCTCCCCAGATACGCAGGGCGAACCTGGGCGCCGTGAAAACAGAATTCCACCATGGGTCGGAAGGCGGCTATGGGGAAGAGCGGCAGGCAGGGCACAATTCTTTATCTGCGGAGTTTGCGAGGTCGAGCCTTCCTGATGATTTTTTCGGTAAAGTCACAATGTAGGTAAAAAATGAAATTAAAATTAATAAAAATAAAATAATAATAAATCACGACGTTTCGGAGACAACACAAGTCTCCGTAAACAGGTGGGTTGAACGTAACAGCCAGATTTGCTGCAAATCTGGCTGTGACGGTCCCACCTGATGACGGAGACTTGTGTTGCCTCCGAAACGTCGTGATTATTTATTAATATTATTTTATTTTTATTAATTTAATTTTCATTTTTTACCTACGTGACTTTACCGAAAAAACTAAGAGTATGAATCCTTGCAGTCACGAAAGCTTCAAATCTAGAACATCCTGATGATACCAATTCAAGGTGAAACAACTGCAAAAGCTCCGGCTCACATAGCACGAGGGCATTCAGTGCTGTTTATCAATAAGGCTGCGCCTTGCTGCTGAAGCCACTGAAGCTGAAACCAGTCGAATTATTTAAATGTTTAATAAACAAGTGGAAACATGATTCTTGTACAGGGCTCATTGGCCAATGAATTTGAAGATAATTTCAGTTGTATTTTTAATGCCACATACGCTGCCGATGCAACATGCACTGGCGACAGGTGGCATTGTTACAGAGAAGGAGGTGGTGCTGCTACTGGTGGTTGGTGCTGGTGATAGTGGTAGCGGTACAAGTTATTTTGGTGGTGGTGGTGCTGCTGCTGGTGGTGATTGTGATTCTGTGGCTCATGGTGCTGCTGATAGTGGTGGGGCTGCTAGAGATACTGGTTAAAGTGGTCCTGGTGGTGCTGATGCCGATGGTGGTGGTGATAAGTGGTGGTGCTGGTGATAGTGGTGCTGGTGACAGTGGTAACAATGGTGCTGTTGATAATGTTGGTGGTGCCTGCTGCGATGGTGATGCTGCTGCTGATCGTGGTAGTGGTGCTGATGGCGAAGTTGATGCTGATGCTGCTGCTGCTGGTGGTGGTGGTGGGTGCTGCTGTCACTGCCGCTGGTGCGGACGGTGGCGGTGAAGGTGGCGGCTGCAGCCCTTACCCAGAAGCCTCTCGATGTCGTCCACCACTACGCAGCTCAGCTGCGACTTGTACGCGTCGTCAAAAGTCTGCCGGCCGCGCAAGACAATGGCAGTTTTATTTACAGTGACAATCGTGCTTTAAAATGGGCACGAGAGAGAGAGAGAGAAAAAAAACCCAAAACAAAACACAAAGGAGAAGATGGGGGAAAAAACGGAAAGACACGAAGCAGATAATCTCTTGAGAAAATGACTACGAGCCACTAATAACTCGTTTCAGCGGAATAATCTGTCTCAAAATGAGTGGCGTAATGAGTCTTGGCTCAGACCCGGCGCTTTGTGGCCAAACGCACGACCCTGGGTGCTCGCGCTCTACAAAATTACCGATGCTATCTCGCGCTGCCTCGCCATTATTAATAGTTATCTCTAACCTGGGCCAGCAAAACAAGCGTCCCGTCGCACGACGCGTGGCCCGCTGGGTGGGTGACGTGGGGGGCCGGGGGTGGGGGGCGAGGGGGGGGGCCGCGGGTGAGTGGCGACGCAATTTAATTTTGAAAAGCGGCCACCTCATGCGAGCGTTTCCCTGCCCTCGCGGAGTTTATGGGAGAGTGGCAGTGATTGATAAACGCTTTGCAGTGGCAAGGCGAGCGATCGGGTGGGCGAGTGAGCGAGTCGGTGGGTGGGTGTATAATCGGGAGCCTGGGTGAGTGCATGAGTGGGTGAGTATATAGACACATGATTGGATGACTGCCATGAATGACTGAATTTTGTGAACAGTAGGTCCACAACTAAAAGGAGTTGGTGGATGTGTGAATGGATAACTGATCGAGTACATGCATGTGGATGGATAAGTGGGTGGGTGAGCAGGTGAGCGAGTAGGTTGATAACTGAGAAAGTTTGGTGGATGCATAAGTGAGCGGGTGGATAGGCGAGCGTGTGGTTGATTGCAGGAGTGGGTGAGCGTCTACGCACTCCTGTATATACGAGCGAGTTGCACGAGTGATGGCGCCGGTGAAGAGGTAAGCGCATGCACAGTTGTGTGCACGGCGGAGTGTGTAGACAAGAGGGCGAGCGAGTGAGCGAGTTGGTGGGTCAGACAGCGGGTGGGTGAGTGTATACATGAGCGAAGAATTGGTCAAAAGCTGAACAAGCGAGCAGGTGAGACTGAAACATGTTTGACAGTGGGTGGGTGATGGTGTGAATATGTAAGTGCATAAATGGGCGAGTAGGTTACTTGAGTGGGTGGGTAAGTGCACGGCCGAGTGTGTGAGTTAGTGAATAGGTATGTAAGTGGGTGGATGAGTGAGTGATAAGGTGAGTTGGTTGATGAGTGATAGGGTGAGTGTGTTGATGAGAGAGATGGTGAGCCGGTGCATTAGCGAGTGAATTGGTGATCAGTGAGCGAGCAAAGTGGGCAAGTAGGCATATGTACGAGTGGGTGAACAAGCGTGTGAGTGACGAGGCAGGCATGTGATTCAGCAAGAGGAATAGTGAGCCCGTGAGTGGGTGTGGGCATAAAAGGGGCAAGTGATCGGTTACATAAAACATTAAGTGGTTGTGTATGTGGGAGGGTGGTGTGTGTGGGCGACTGAGTAGACATGTACACAAATGGGTGTGCTGGCGAGTGAGCGGGTGGATAAGTGGCTGAGTGGGTGGGTGAGTGGGTGAGCAGTTTGGCAAGTGAAATGGCGAGTGGTGTACGATTAAGCGGGTGACCTGAGTGGCTGACAAGTAGGTCAACGGGTAGGCGTCTGTACGAACGGGTGTCATTGCGAGTGGGCGGCTAAGTGGGCGAGCGAGTGGGGGTTGACAAGTCAAAGGGTGAGCAGACGCGCGAGCGGTCGACAAGGTCAGCGAAGGGGTGGGTGGACGAGCGACCGAGGGATCGAGCAGCGTGTGATGAATCGAGATCGTGCGATCGATCCACCTTCTTGATGGCTTGGCACTTGGCGGTCTCCGAGAAGCCGATCATCTTGTCCGGGGAGCACAGCTTGATGAAGGGGAAGTTGGACTTCTCGGCAATTCGCGCCGCCAGCGCCGTCTTGCCGCTGTTGGGCGGGCCTGCCAGACGCACGCACACACGGGAATACCACCACGTCCGTTAATGACCGCCGACACCACAGCTGTCGCGACGGGCTGGGCCGCGCGACGCGCACGCTCGATCGACCGACCGACCGATCGAGGGGACGCACCGCAGTGAGCAACCGCGACAACGGATGTCGAGCGCGCGATGCGTGCTCAACACCGCCGTGACCGGGTCACCCGGAATGCGGCCAATCACGTCGGATCTCAAGACACCAAGAGGCGGCGAGAGGCTGGACGGCGCCGGAACGGGCGACCGCCGGGCATGATTGAGGCTGCCATAGGCTGCTGCGGGGCTACGGCGTGGGCGGCAGATGGCAGCGCAGCAAAAAAATAAAAATCTAACATTGTTGCGCCGAACTTCCACACCTCCGGGTTTACGCTCCGTAACCTACGCCGACCGGCACTGACCGGCGTAGGGAAATACGGTCAAATAACACGCTGGACCCACAAGGCGTGGGGGGAGACCCTCATCCAGCAGTGGAGTGACGCAGGGCTACACGTTTAAAGACGTAAATTACGGACACGCGGAGGCACGTGTTATGCAGACACGCACACATTTGCACATACAGTGCACACATATCCGCCTTTAATAAATTATCTCGTAAGCCTCCAAAAGTCGGTATGTCTGCCTCGCTGAGAAACCACAAATCTTCCTTACGGCCAAGTTGGTCGAAACATAATGAGATAGAATAACCAAAAAAACCCGAGCAATGCAGGGAACACAATCAACAACCTTCAGTCAACTTCCGCAGAACGGGAGGTCCCCCCCCCGGCCCCCTGTCATGTCGGTGACCCAGGTCACGCTTGCAAACGACACTCCTCTATGCTGGCCTCTTGAGCCCTCACCTGGGTTGAACGTGACGAACTTGAACTTTAACCAACTGCTGTCCATTCCCCTCCTCGCGTCCCTTGCACGGCAGCCTTTTCGATCCCTCCCACGAAAAAAAAAAACCCCACAATGCAACCCTGGTCGCGTTGTTGAATCAGACGGGGATAACTCAAGGGACCACGGTTATCCCTCTTCGCAGGAGTGACCTAGGGCATCAGTCTGCCAGTCCCAATCGAGTAACTCGTTCTCTCCACCAATTTTCCAAATGTGGACCACGACGCAGGAGCACAACGGCCGACTCTTTTGCGAACGACATCAAGGGGGCAGGGATCTGTAACGGCCGCTGCGCGAAGCAGACATCGTGTATTATACGGCGAGTACACACCTGCAGAAATTCACTAGGGTGGCCTGCCGGATTCGAACTGTGCCGAACGCACTACCCGCTGGGCCACGTCACCACTCAAATCCAAACGTGACATGTACCAGTATGTTAATACATGCACTGGAATGTAACACGTGCGCCGGTACGCAACACGTCCACCGACCGGGCTTAGAGAGGACACGCGCATACCCCGTGCGTACGCAGAAACGCCGACACTGTACAACGGATACTCGATACCTGAATCGCTACGAAGATACCGGCAGTGACATGCAAGATAAAGATCGCTTCATTAAATTATTTGTTTACGATCAATGGGCGGCTTTGTCTATATCGCCGCGTTTCAAAACCGTTCTTCGCGTTTTCTGCCGGAGGTGGTGGTGGCGGCGGTAGAGGCCAGCACGAACCCACACGCCCCACGCGCCACCTTTGTCTCCGCCAACTGGCGATGTTCGCGACCACATCGTGGCCATACCAGGTATATATTTCATACCGAGGCGAGCTATAGCTGAAGCCCAGGTTAGGATCGTAGCGAAATCGGATCGCCGGGGTCGCAGGAGCAGCGAGTGGCTATGCCACCGCTTCTCGTGCACACGTTTTCGCCACGCGTTGCGGTACATTTTGAAAGCTCACGTTTATTTGTGCAACGGGTAAATGTTGGACGTTGAGATGTTGACGTGCATATATGTATGGGGAGCGGTAGTGTAGCCGTTTAGCGTGCTGCGCTATTAATCTGACCACCCGGGCTCGATTTCCGTTCACGGTCAACACCGGTGACGATTATCTGAACCGGTCCTCGGCATCCCCGAGATCGACTAAGCCTCAAATGAATATCGGGCGTAGTGTGTAAGCATCGCCACTGGGGGGACAAAGGCGGTCGGGCATGGTGCTGGTCACCCACCCCCTTGTGTGCAGTGCCGGCCATCAGAGGTGCTCGCTAATAGCACTTGCCCCAACAGTCTGTTAAGGCGATACGGGGGATCTTTGTGTTTGTCTTTTATGTGTATGTACAAGCCAGTAACCAGATGCTTATCGCTGCGTTTACAGTGATACAGTATATAGGTATAAGTGTGTGCGTCCGTCTGCCAACTTGTCCATTGTCCGTTTATATGTCTATCAGTCTATCCGTCCATTTGTTTGCCTGCCCACCCATCCATCCGTCCGTCCATCCGTCTATCTGCCCACCCATGTGTCTGTCCGTCCGTCGGCGTGCCAACCCATCGGCAGACGCGCACACAAACGCACAGACGCACACACGCACGCACGTGCATGCACACGCTGAGAGTTTCAGTCGTCAGTCGGCAGCGAGACGTGAAACCGCGTGTCATCTCGCGACGGCGCGCGTCGTCACCGCGCCACCCGTCCTGCCTGCCGCCCGCCCGACTGACCGCCCGCCCACGCGCCCACCCACCCACCCACCCACCCACCCGTCCCACCCCGGATCGCCGGCAGCGTGGCCGCCGCGTCAGCAGGGGGGCGCGCGTTTGCGCCAGGCTCGGCGCAGGGCGGATTTTCGCGTGGGAAACGCAAAAGGGCAGAGCGTCCAGAATACAACGGCATCGCAAGATGCTTTACGGGAGAGGGAACCACAAGTTGTGTGAAATTGTGAATGAAAAGGGGGTCAGGGAGCCGATGACAAAAGATGAGGATATGTTACGGGGCAGTACGAACGTCTCGCCAAGCAACTAGATGTCGAACTCCTGCGCGTTCCCTCTTTTGGCCGCCTCCTTCGTCGTTAAGTCTCGACCACCGGCCATCATCGCTTCTAGCGACGCGTCCTGCCCAAGCAAACTTTAATTATCCCAGAAGTCCACGATCAGGTGTCCACAAACCTGCGTGCGCCCGTTACATCGCGTTAAACCAGCGTGACTTCATACGAAAGATCTATAAAAAGCGAGCGCAATTCGCGTAAATCACCGTTGCCAGTTTGCTCGCGACTCCGCTCCGTCGCTAACCGACCCCCGGGGTGGTTTTTGGGTGGGGGTTTTCGGAGGCGGGAGGAGGTGGGGGAGGGTGTCGTGTCCTGGGCGGCGAGGGGTGGAGGAAGCAGGTTGATGCCCAGGTGCATCGTTTTACACGCACGGCCCGTGTCTCGCAAGTTCCCCGTCTGTCCGTCCCGTCCATCCGTGCAATCGTTCGTCCGCAGGCGACGCAGGTCGGATAATTAGCGCTTCGTTCAAGAGCGCGCGCGCGAGGGAACGCACACGCGCGAGCGAGCATCAGTCGCCGTGTGGACCGCGCACCAAGCGGCGGGGCCTGGGAGCGCAGGCAAGAGCCATCAAGAGCTTCATTGTGGCCACTATCTTCACCATCAATCTACAATCTGTCAGGGCCAGCGTGCTTTGTCAGCCCTGTCACAGCAAGTAACAATTAGTTTTAATTAAATTCTATCCCGTGCTGCGGCAATAAGCGATGCGACGTATTGATAGCATCGCCGCTGTGTTGGACTTATTACGGGACGGCCGCCGCACGTGTATATATATTTTTCTTAAACAAACTGGGATTGTGACAGCCGAACGGTTGACGTCACTGCAGTCACATTTTTTCCGACGCTCTAAGTGCACTTAAGCGGTCATAAAATGAAACGCTACTGTACAGCACGACAAAGTGTGGATGTGTATACACGCAGCGTCCAAATGCACACGTATCTCAACACGCTGTACAGGAATGGTGGGCATAGTTATTCTGTAGAGGCTGTCTGGCATAGGTCTCTACGCGAGACTATGGGTCTCTACGCGAGTCTGTGGGCCTCTACGCGAGACTATGGGTCTCTACGCGAGACTATGGGTCTCTACGCGAGACTATGGGTCTCTACGCGAGTCTGTGGGCCTCTACGCGAGTCTGTGGGCCTCTACGCGAGTCTGTGGGCTTCTACGCGAGTCTGTGGGTCTCTACACGAGTCTATGGGTCTCTACGTGAGTCTATGGGTCTCTGTGGTGTGTGACCTGCGACGAGGTAGTCGAGTGGCGAAACCGGGGATCGCAGCGACTCGGGTGCGGCGAGCAGCCCCCGGCGCCAGCGAGCACGCTCGACAAATCCGCCAGCAGCACTCTTAGCTAGTGGTGTAATGTGAGCGATGAGTGTCTGGGGCCAGCACGCGTGAAAGCCGTACCCACGAACAGCCCTCTTAGCTAGCGGTGTAAGGTGAGCGATGAGTGTCTAACGCCAGCACGCGTGAAAGCCGTACCTACGAACAGCCCTCTTAGCTAGCGGTGTAAGGTGAGCGATGAGTGTCTAACGTCAGCACGTGTGAAAGCCGTACCCACGAACAGCCCTCCTAGCTAGTGGTGTAAGGTGAGCGATGAGTGTCTAACGCCAGCACGTGTGAAAGCCATACCCACGAACAGCCCTCTTAGCTAGCGGTGTAATGTGAGCGATGAGTGTCTGGCGCGAGCGGGAGCCGTACCCGCGAGCAGCACGCTGACGAGCGGCGTGCGCTCGCTCATCTTGGCCTGCTGCACGAGCAGGTCCCCGTCCTCGAGCACGCGGTGCACCGGCTCGCCCCAGTTCACGATTCCATTCATGATGTAGCCCTGGTAGTCCTCCGTGTTGGTGCCGAACGCCTGTGCCGGGCACGCGAGCAGGAGGGAGTTGCGCCCCGGTGAGAAAACGATAAAAACAGCTCTGATCTTGGAACGGAATGATGGAATGAACAGGTTTTACATTCGTGTATTCATTGAGCCAACTGGTTTTCCAGACTTGTATTTAGCCAGCAGGTCGAAACTGCTCCACAGTCCGTTTGTTTGACATGTACTTCGCCACGCTGGTCAGGGCGGGTCGGTGGAGAGTAGGGACGGCTCAGGGCCGGTTCAGATATCGCTCGCCACTGATGTTTTGCCACGGCCAGAAATCGAACCCGGGTCACTCGGTTTCATAGCATAGTGTGCGAACCACCGTGTCACCCTTCTGTTGTATTAAAAAATATATATTATTGTTCTGTATTTTTTATTATTTGTTGTTCTGTACGCTAACAATGTAAAATCTCTGATAAGGTATTCCATGGGTCTCTCTTGCACAGAAGCCTGTGGATGACTGTTACCGACTCACGTCACCAAATACATCTGAAACTTACAGGATGGACCAGCATTGCACCCCGATACGATACACCGAGAATAACGTGGAACTAACGCCCACCAGATTTAACGTACGTTTCGCATGATCTTATTTTGTAGAAAGTAAATACTCCGTGGCAGACGTATTCCAAATATATATTTTTTTCTAAATGACTTCCTATGTCAGACAGATATACTGCTGTGCATGTCAACTCAAAGCTGTCATTTTGACATTCCTGTAGTGACGTTGACTTTCCCCGCTACAACGGATATCACACCTTGGTTACCGGTCAGGGCCCTTTGTGGTTCTGTAACCTCAAAGCACACTGTGGACCAATTTAATTTCGCAGCGTGTGTCGGTCGAGGCACAAGATGAACTAAATATTACCCATCTCCTTACTCAGACGGGGTTTAGGAGTTTGACGCCGATGACAACCACAGTGACGACGGGCCACATGGAAAGTTTTCTGTCATCTCATCTTGTTGTCAGGTTTCGTTGCGAGTTTTATTCTCATTTCAGATTCAAGTATCGTGATTATAAGTGCGGAAACAACAGAGAAAAATATCCCCCATATAGCCTTAAGAGACTGTTGGGGCAAGTGCTGTTAATGAGCACCTATGAAGGCCACAAATTGCACACGAGGGGTATGGGTGGCCAGCACCACGCCCGACCACCTTTGTCTCCCCCAGTGGTGATGTTTACACACCACACCAGATATTTTTATTTGAGGCCGAGTCGACCTAGGGGAGGCCCAGGACCGGTTCAGATAATCGCCACTGATGTTGACTGTGAGGGGATATCAAACTCAGATCGTCGGGTTTGGAGTGCTATCCACTACACTGCCACACGCAAGTTCTGTTAGCGAGCACCAATGAAAGCTGGCATGGCACAGAACGGGGTTGGTGGCCAGCACCACTCCCATCCGTCTTTGTCTCCCCAACGGCGATGTTGACACACCGCACCAGATACCACACAGCACACGCACGCACACGCACGCACGCGCGCATGCCGTGACAAGGTTAAGCTGCGAACCCCGCAGTGCCCGCGTGCACTTACGGGTTTAATGTCGCTGTCCAGGGCTCCCAGGAAGTCCTCCCGCGTCACCTGGAGTCGCTCCGCCTTCTCCATGTCCACCTCCACTTTGGTGGTCGCCTGTTGGGCACCGTGCACACACGTCGCACACACGTCATTACTAAAACTAAACTTTTTTATTTATTTTACCAGGTAAAAGCCACTTAACTGTATGGCTCTTTTTTAGAAGCGACCTGGCCACAAATTGATATCTCAACGAAGATACTCATCGCGTGGAAAATTTACAGCAGCAGAATACTCTAAAAGCGTGTTTCTAAATGTGGAGGGAAAAACTGGACTGGAGGGCCGGAGAAAAACCCAGGCGACCGCGGGGAGAGAGACACGCAAACTCCAAATATACAGCAGCAGCAGGCGTCACGGTCGGGATCGAACCCAAAACCTCCTGTATACCAGGCGAGGTAGTTGACATCTCGCCACCTTGGCGCCCTTATGCCGATGTCCACTGCCGAACCGCGCCAGGTGTTGCCAATCGTGCCATTTTTCGGAAGCTAAACCAGTGAGCCTCATGAGTACATTGGATGACTTACCACTTCTCTCCAAACTTTTGGGCGAGCCCTAATTTTTGAAAATCAATTTGGCCAATTTTCAAGAAGGCACACTCCCGAGTAGCAACACTGCTTTATAATGAAGTTTGCTCGTACCGGATCATCAGTAAGAGATATATCGTGGCCCCCCCCCACACCATGACCCCCCTGCCCCATTACGGACAGCCAGACGGAGCCGATGACGGAACGTTTTCAACCTCAGTTGGGTCATTGACTTTAGCCGATTACACAAACCCGGATGAAGCGAACGGACGGAGCAAATGCAAACACTTTCGACCTCGTGGTAACGCAATCAATTGCCGACGTACAAATCCTACCTACTTCCTGCGGGGGGCCGTGGCACGCATCGGCAGCCAGCACTCGCAGTTCATGGTGGTGATCGGCACTGGCGGTTTGTTACCTTGATGTGGCGGTTCATGGCGGTGGACTGCGCGGCCCTCACGAGCCCCTCCAGCTCGGCGCCGCTGAAGTTCTTCGTCTCCACCGCCAGCTCGTTGACGTCCACGTCGGACGCCAGCAGCCCGTTTTCACGCATGCGCGCCGTGTGGATGTTCAAGATCTGGATGCGGCCCTTATTGTCCGGGAGACCTGGGGGAAATGAGAGCGGGCCGGCGCGGGAGGGCGTGGGTGAGTAGGGGGGGAAGGAAGTGAATGCAAGGGACCGTGCGTGTAAGAAGACACAACAACGGCAACAACGTTAGGTGACTATGACAATGTGAAGTACGGATATCGTAACGTGACTATGAACGAAGGACAAATCACAAAATCCTTATTTGGTCCTCGGCTAGGAACAGGTTCTCCACCCCAGTCGTCGATTATCTCTCTCCTTGTGCGTTAGCCAAACAGAGGACCATCGGAGCTTGGGCGATAGTTGGCGCCGGTTCGGGCTGCCTTCCCGCTTAGTCTGTGGTTTCCCGCGCCACCGTACGATAAAATCCCCGTTGCGCGACACAACTTCAACGGGGCACTGAACGACACGACCGTTAATATAAAGCATTTGTCGTTGCTAATAATCACTACGTGCAGCACAAACACGCACGAGCGGTGGGTTAAAGTCAACGGCAAAACGCACGACACACGCGACGTCCCCACCGATTTCCATCTTGACCTCCAGACGCCCCGGTCGCAGCAGAGCATCGTCGATGAGGTCGGGGCGGTTGGTCATTCCTGGAGGGGTGACACGCGGCACAGGAGCGGGGGGGGGGGGGGGAAGGTGAAGCCCACAGGTGAGGCCAAGGTGGAGTCGTCGGACTGGGTTTCTCAACGTTTAGTGCGGTTGAAGGCCTCTCCACGCTGTTCAGTCATGGTGGGGTTGGGAGGACCATACACAAGTGCGCTAATCACTGCACCACCGCTCCACCACAGGCACATCCGGATAGCCAGGCACACAAATATACACAGCACCACGCCCGGCCCACATTTGTCTCCCCAGTGCTGATGTTGATGCATCGCACCATGTGCTCATTTAAGGCCGAGTCGACCCAAGGTGCGTGCCCCAGGACCAGTTCAGACATCGGTCACCGATGTTGGCCGTGAGCGGGAATCCAACTCGGGTGGCAGGGCTTCGCAGCGCATTGCGCCAACCGGTACACTGCCGTTCCCCAAACACGGGGACACATACGCACGCACGCACACGCGGGGATAAACTCTAGTTTGGTTTGGGTCGCTCGCTGCCAGGGTGCCGGGTAAATCTGGAGTGGCGGATGGAGCAGCGGGGGGGGGGGGGGGGGGGTGCCCCATCAATCTCGCGACAAAGCGGCAAATTCCAGGTAACAGCGACATAATGGGGAGTTAAATTAAATATTTCCCGCGCTGGCCGCCGGCTCCTAGACCCGATATCGGGCGCGGGGTTTTTTTTTTCCAAGGCGCTGCTCGGCCGAGTGTGAGGGGGATGCCTTGTGCGCGCCCGATCAGCCAGTCACAATCTCTCACCACCCGGGGATCGCCGACACAAAGGCGCTGGGCGTGGAGGACAGGGGTAACGGTGGCGCTGACAAAGGGGGATAAACGCGATTTCGTACGCCCATTTCTGGAGTTGGGAGCAATTTTGAAAGGGGGTGGAAAGACGCCCGTACCCCCGTAACCCCCCCCACCACTCCCAGTCTCCTGGCTACAGAGTCATTAAGGGAGGGAATGATGCGGTTTATGACCGGCAAAAAAGAAAAAAACCCCGCCGATCGCATTGGCCCGCAGCAGAAATTCAATTACGCTTTAGGCGGTTGCGGGCTGGGCTTGGGCGAGCGATGGAGAGGTTGCTCATTCATTCATTCCAGCTGCATTGTCCACGGACACAGTGCGCTGGGCTCCACCGACAGATTTGGTCACGTGGATTAGCAACGAGGAAGGGTGCACGCAAGCGCACGCGCACATATGTATAGGAGGTTACAAATGGCAGCGAAAAAGGAAAATTTTGATTCCAACTTAATTAACAACGGTAGGAAAAAAAGAAAGTTAAAAATGTTGCCGACGGCGAACAGTCAGGCTGCGGTGATGAGACGGGGAAGAAAAAGTGGGCCGGAATATTTTGTCGTCCTATCTGGGTGCTCGTCATCCAAGAGCGTCGGTGAACTGGGATAAGTTGGACGAGGTTTAAAAATAAATGAACATATGTTAATACCCTCTATCACGATCACAACGTGCTCATGTTCATGTGCGCGTACGTACGTACACACATATGTGCGCACACACAACCACTAATCCAGTCACATCTACGCACACACTCGCACGCATGCGCTCACATGTGCGACACGCTGCGCTAAACCATCAAGACCCCGAAAAACCCATCTCTTGGCAAATCTTCCACCATCTCCACTACCACCGGATGGACTTCCCACCAACACTAACACCACCACCACCGCAACAAAACAAAAAAACACATACACGAGACGAAATAATCGCGACGCGTTTCTACATCTCAGTAGTTTACTGGAAACACCACCTTGGGGCTACGCGGGGTGGGGGAAGGAAGCAGAGCGGTGCTCATCGCGCATCGCCAAAACTCATAACCGGGGAGGGCGCAGAGGCCACGACGGCATTGGGGCCCCCGTCGCCAGCACCGCCGAGGCGAGCGCGCGTGCGCGAGCCGGGGTTCGCGGGACTGCTAATGCGATTGAGTGGGCCCGCTGAAGGGTAAGACAAATTATTGTGACGGATGAGCCAAGAGCTGGACGGCAGCCACCTCGCCCTCTAGGCACCGCGCGCGGCACGCAGGGAACTTGGCTGGGAGGGGAGCTGCGGCTGACGCAGAGCTGCGGTGTTACCCCAAGCCCAGCCACCGCCGCCGCGCACACTGCTGGGATTTCGCCAAATTCTGAGAAGTGGTGGGACGACGGGCGAGTATGCGGGCGGGCGGGCGAGCGAGTGAGCAGGCGTGCGAGCAGGTGGGTTTGAGCCAGCATCTCAAAATGCCAGAGCGGGTATCGTGGGACGTGCAGATGGGTGAAGCGTGCGTGCGCACGTGAACCTGTCCTATCCGATGGGAACTCGCAGTCGCAGGCACACGCGCGAGAGTGTGTGCACGTGCGACGCGGCACGAGCACGGGAAGGGAAGATGAGCGTCTGCCGCTTGTTGCAGATGATCGTGGTTCGAATCCAGGAGGCCACCATGATTGTTATAGTGGGCGCATTAAGCGGAACGCATGTCTCCGTCCGGTGACATAGCTTCAATCGCTGGCGTCAGTGTCCAAAATTTTGCCAAATTCGAAAAATTGCATGGCCAATTACTCAACTGGCATCACACACGGCAACATCGCCCACACACCTCGTGCTGTCAAACTACCGCATCTTCAAAACATAGCAACGCTTTCCTTCCGCGACAGTCATACAAACGATCGGGCCAATGCTGAGCGTGCCGAACTATTATGAATATTTGTGACTCTCTGCGCTCACCGATGACGAGGATGTTGTTGAGCTGCTCCACTCCGTCGATCTTGGAGAGGAGCTGGTTGACGACCGTGTCGTGCACGCCCGTGCTGCCGGCCATGCTGCCGCGCTGCTTGCAGATGGCGTCGATCTCGTCGAAGATTATGATGTGCAGGCCGCTGTTGACGCCGCACTGATCGCACGGGCGGTGGAGTGAAGGTGGGGTGGGGGGTGGCGGAAAAGATGATATAAATACGAACGAAATAACTTAGAAAAACAAGAGACCTCGCCAGGCTGATTAAAGTGCGGGTTGGTGCAAAGGGAGACCCTAGACCGAGCGTGGGAAGATCATGATCATAGGATCGGTCCTTCCATTGCACCTCTCATGTCACATGACATCGCAAAACTCTTTTGCCGTTGTTCGCTGGTTTAACACCTGTGAGACAAGGCTGCAAAGATGGCTGTCCCTGGTGTAGGCCAATCTGTTTCAAAGCCAATGCATATACTATCATCAAAGCATGTTTGTTTGCATGTTTTACCACAAGCATGATGTGTGGTTAATGCAAACTTGATGCCTTGCGATAGGTGTCTATTGGGTGTTTGGACATCTTCACACCTCCTGTATTATTACGGGAAAAAGTAAAGCCTATTATTTTTTCATCACTCTTGTGTATACTGCGCACAGTTACGCTTTAAGACCATCAACTCAAAAGTCAAAGTTGTGGCAACATTTCATCCACCAGCAGGACGATGGGATATCTCCATACCTGTCTCATTGTTGTCGTCTGGAATGATCTTCCTTCCGATATTAGAAAGCCACTAGAGCTATGCACTTTTAAATGTTTTTCTTTCGCAGCGTACGTAGCCTACCCTGCTAATCGGAGATGCAGGGGAAGGACAACAAACTAAACATGAAAAGCAGTTCAAAACAAATGAGCTTCCAACCTAGATGATTTGAAAGTGCAGTGCTCCAGTGTTTTGCTAATATCGGACGGAAGAGCGTTCCAGGCGGCTGCACTGTCATTGGCCACGTCAGAAAATGGGAACCACGAAAGCTACGCCGCCACCCCTGGTGAGGCTTGTCCCAAAGAGAGAGCGCGATATCCGGTCTGGCCTTCTCGTGACCGACTCTCCGAAGGTGCGGGGGTCGCACAAACCCGCTTCTGCTCGTCCTCCGCGTCGGCGAATAGCTTGCGGATGTTGGCCTCCGACTCGCCCACGTATTTGTTGAGAACCTCGGGCCCGTTGACGATCTTGGGCTCGCGCGCGTTGAGCATCTTGCCGATCTGCCGCGCCATCAGCGTCTTGCCGCAGCCTGGCGGCCCGAACAGCAAGATGCCCTTCACGTGTTTGCACCCTGCGCGCGCGTGGTAAGAGGAAGTGTGGAATACCGGTTAGCGTGCGCGAGTGTACACACACCGTGCGAGAACCTCGTACGGGAGAACTGTGCACGAGGTTAAAGCAGATAATGAGTTTCATCCAAGTAACCCCCCTCCCCCCCCCCCTATAATCCAAAACTTCCTTCCCCCAGCAGTCCGTGCTGTCCACTCCCTGTCCTTAACCTCTCGCTTTCCCTTGACCTATCCCTGACTGCTTCTCTCGCTCTCTCCACACTGCAAAATGAGAGCTGGTCAAGATATAAATGCAAACCAAAATAACTCATCGCACCTCGAATCGGCAATAGGGAGGTGGGAGTCCCCACACTTTCCAAATGTGTCGAACTGCCGTGCAACCCATCTAGACTGCTGGTTGGACGTTGGTGGGGAGATCTAAAAACACTCGTTTGACCTCCCAGCCGCGTTGGGAGGTCAAACTAACCAGCGACCTCTGGATTGCAAGTTCAACGTACCACCATATTCTCCAGATTATAAGACGCATGTTTCCCCCCCCCCCCCCCGGTGTTTTTACACGCTTTTATTTTTTGTTTGCATGTTCACCACAAGTACGTGTGGTGAATGACAAGATTCCTTGAATAAGGATTCTGTTTGGTGTTTGAACATCGACACCTGTTTTATTGCCAGAAAGGGTAAAACCTACTGTTACATTTTAATACTGGCAAGAAAGATCCCATGTTGGCGTGTGGTGTCTATGTGTAAACAACTTCATTGACACCGGGCGTAAGTTTGGGGTGAGTCTGACTGTCTTCCGGAGTGTCTTACTAAATAATCTGGAGAATACGGCAGCAACCCCACCAGAACGGCGGAGTGGCTGACTCGGAGGGGTTGAATCGGCCCATCATCAAACTGGGGTCGATGAAATGAATTACCGCTTTGTGGGGAAGGTCATTCATTGGTCGTCGTCCTACTGAAGAGAATCTCCACCGTCATAAGAATGTGGCATTTCGACCACTGGCTCTGCAGGGCTATAAACAGGGAGATGAGCAACGCAGCAATGCTCATTTGATGCTCATTTGAGCAGGGAATCACTTAAGGCTTGTTTTAATAAGCGGCGGTGGTGGCGGCTGCAGGAACGGGGAGAAATTGGCACACAGCAGGCCAGCTGTTAAGCCGTTAGCCGAACGGCATGGCGTGCACCGATCGGCCAAGAGCACCGCGCTCGCCTTGACAAACAACAACCGGCAAACACGCGGCAGACAGCGGCAGGTCCGGGCAGAGCGCCGCTCCTCAAGCTTTTTTGGCAAAATGTTTTTCTCTTTTTGCGCCGAGATAATTTATTAAATCTCGACTTAATTATCGTTTGGCCCCGAGCTACAATGAGACACGGCGGTGTCTGTCATTGAAAAATGCCAGAAATCTGGACGAGCTGGCTGACTCCTATCGAAGCTTGTCGGGACAATGTAAGAGAGCGATCTTTTGGCTTTGCGGAGCAGAGATATCCAGCCAGATAATGTGATTAATAAATAAATTACAACCGATTGAATCGATCAATTCGTGATTTCCTTTGTTAGTAACGCAAAACCGATCAACTCAATCTCGATTCAGTGTGCGAACGGTCACCACTGTGGACAGGGCAGATGTACAAAAAAGTGTTATGATCGGTCGTCCGAAAAGCGAGCGATGCTGCTGGATCTCGGAAGCTAAGCAGAGTTTGGGCCAGCATACACTCGGGTGACAGGCTGCCTGGAAGCACCACGTGTTGTCGGCATGGGCTGTTAGGTAACCAGGAGATGGCAGTAGAGACATTGATTCTTGAATCAATCTGTGCGGAGCTTCCTCCCATGTACCAAACAATCACGAATGCAGTTTGGATAAACATCTCAATGCACAGGGATCTTCCCGATAAAAAAATAACAAAAAATACTCCTTGAGACTCGGGGGAGGCCCTTCTTTTGTAAATAAGGTGCTATTATTATTACTACAATATTAGTTTATCTAAGCAACGACAGAAAAATTGTTTCTGCAACTTAGATTTGAATTGCATGGTTGAGCCCAACACATTCAACATCACACCTTTAAATGTTGGGCGCTTCCCTTCAACTGGAACACATTTCACATGAGACAGATTGGATAGATTTGATTTATTTTACTTATTTAAACAGGAAGGACCCAATGAATTTATGAATTCAATCGGTCACAAAAGACACTCATCACGGCAAAACAGATTCATTTGCCGTTGTCACCGAACAAGTTATTGGCGTATGAGCGTCTTGCAACGTCAACATACGCACGTAAAAGTAGCCGCGAAAAAAAATGCCCGCTTATTTGTGCCAACTGTGAGCATATTACATAAAAAAAACTAATCGCAAGTTTAATTAGGCAATTAACAAATTAGCCACGACGAAAATCAAAGAGTGCAGATGACTCCACACCAACGCGTAGATAACTGCATTGCGAGTTCATGCTTCGCCCAATGGGCCGCGCAAACAACCGGGTTTTTTTTTAATAAGTTGTAATTTCCACGGCACGTCTCCACTGGACATTTTAATCGATAGCCCTGAGCCTCTGTGGCCGGAGACAACCCACCTAGCCCCTCTGACACACACACGCATACACAGACGTACGCACACACACACGGACAGACAAGAGTCAGACGGTGCACACACACGCATACCTATGCCAAACAAGCGTTGCCAGGTGACTGCACAAATCTGTAGGATGCGTGACAAAACGGGCTCCAAATAAAAACAAAGGTAAAGGTGCAGCCCTGAAGTTTCTTGCTCATGCCACTGCTGGCAGAAGGCCCTCCACGTGAAGCGGCTAGGTGGGTGGTTGGTTTAGTGGGTGGGTTAGTGGGGTGGGTGGGGTGGCTTGGTGGTTGCATGATTGGATGGGTGGCTGTGTGGTTGAGCGAGTGATTGAGTGGGAGTGTGACTAGTTGGGTATTTGAATTAGTGAGTAGTTGAATAGGTGGTTGTGTGGATGACTGAGTGGGTGGGTGGCTGGTTTGGTATTTGGATGAGTGGGTGGGTGGTTGAGTAGGTGCTTGTGTAGGTGCTTGAGTGGGGGGGGGTGGGTGGCTGGTCGGGGATTTGAATTAAAGTTTGGGTGGGTGGGTGGTTAAACGAGTCGGTGGGTGGTTGTGTGGTTGAGTGGGTGAGTAGGACTGGTGGCTGCCTGATCATCCAGGTGCACAGAGGAGACTGTATCCCCCGTGGCCTCTCCCCTGCCTTAATCTGCGCGCAGCGAGGATGCTAATCATGACAGCGATATCAATTATGGGGCAGTTGAATTTGAGGCTTCTGTCATCCCCTGCTCATCTGGTGCAACTGGTGTGGTGGCCAGGGTGATGGGAGGGAAGGGAGCGGGTGATGGGGGATGGTAGGAGGGGTGGAGAGGGGTAAGCGCAGTGGTGGGGGTCATCCCGGGTGCACAGGTGCAGTTTCCTGTTCCAAAGGTCTGGCGGCTCCTGGTAGACATGTGGGTGTGTGCATGTCTGTCAGAGTGTATGTCAGTGTGTGGGGAGCGGTGGTGCAGTAGTTAGCGCGCTGCGCTACGAACACGGGAGACCCGAGTTCGATTCTCGCTCATGACCAACACCGGTGACGATTATCTGAACTGGTTCTGAGTCTCCCCTAGGTCGATTCAGTACTTGGTGTGATGTGTAAATATCACCACTTGGGAGACAAAGGCAGCCAGACGTGGTGCTGGCCACCCACCCTCTCGAGTGCTGTGCTGGACTTCAAAGGCGCCCGCTAACAAGCACTTGCCCCAACAGCCTGTTAAGACTATAAGGGGGACCTTTGTCTTTATTATTGTATCAATGAGATAACAAGGACACATTGAAGTAAATCTATCTACGGGCAAGCCTCAATTTGTCCGTAAAATATATTATGACGGGATGTGTTGTTGCGCTCAGCAGGAAACAACAGTTTCTCGAGGACAACGCACGCGCAGGTGCGCGACCTCTTTACAGACGGGTCAGCGACCTGGCTTCATGTCTCCTACAACAAGCGCCGCCATCGTCGGCCCGGAGGAGGGTGTCCACCAACACCCACCTTCGAGCCTTCCGATCGCAGGCGTGCCCTTGTCGCCACAGTCGCGGCGTATCGTCGTACGCTGCTGCCGCCCGTCGTCACAAGCGATGCACTGGATTGAAAACTCATTTCTTCAAAGCTGCTTTTTTGTGTTTAGCACGATTGGCTACGTACGGTGCGTAAGAAAGACGTTCACCATGCATACATACATGCCGACGGGCGATGGCTAGAGATGCGGTCCAGGACGGAGGACGGCGAATTACCGAGACAGAAGCGGCGCCCCATAGTTCAACAGTCGACAAAGGAGAAGATCTCAGCCAGATGGCGGGGTTGAGACTGTATACCACTGGTGCTTGCAGGACGTACCGACAGGCAACAAGGGAAAGATCTACATGCAGATGTAGGTGTTGAGACTGTAGTAGCGGTCATTGTAGGGCGCATGAGCTGCAAGACCGAGAACCATACGGTGGTGGCAGAGAAGAGGCTGTAAGAGCAAACCTTCAAGGCCGGTAGTTGAACGTTCAACAAACTCTGGAATCTATCAGAAGGAAGCAAGGGCGAGGTGTGGTGACACTGACGGCATTGACTGGGATTACCGCTGCACACTCTATAAAAAATATCTCAATAATTTACAGGCCTTTGTAGGCTGCCGATGAAGGCCGGAACATATCGGGTCACGGGAGTTGTTTGAGCAAACCTCGCAGATGCAGTTCAGCGTGGGTTGGTGACCGGTTCTCGTATTGCGCTCGAAAGATATCGGCCATGGCTGGGAATCGAACTCGGGTTGACACCTTCACCACCGGTAACCACCGCTGCGGCCTCCCGCAGCCACGCAGTCACGACGTGCAACCCAAATCCCCGCTGCCACGACGAGCAACCCAAAACCCTGCGGCCACGACGTACGAGCGCACACGCTCCACTCGCAACTCATCCCGGTACTCACCCATCTGCTCGACGATGTCGGGAGGGAAGACGCGGGATGCGAAGGCCCGCCGGAAGATGTCGGAGAACTCCCGGTCGAGACCACCGATTCCCATCTTCTCAAAGTTCCAGTCCGGGTTGATGATCGACTGCCGACCCTGCTTGGTTTTGGATTTTCCTGCAAAAAAAAACAAAAACGTAAAAACGGCGAGCGAGGAACTCGAATCACAGCCAGGGAAATGCGCAAGCACACGACACAATGACGGCGAATATTATAATTGCCAGTTTGTAAAGTTAATTTGAGTAAAAAAAAAAAAAGGACAGTGGCGACAGGTTCGCTGACAAGTGAAAAATAAGCACAGAATAATAATAGTTGATTTCTCGGCCTACTGCGGCGGTGGGAAAATGCATGACCTGACGAAGCCGCAGCTCCTGCCGCTGGTGGCTGCTGACACCTGCTGGCTGTCGGTGTGTATGGAGCTCGCCGACCGCTTATTTGCTATGCTCGGAATGTTACCCCCGTCCACTTGCCCAGTCGCTATGAAACTTACCGCGCAGCTTAGTCATACTAATGCTCGACTAACGGCTGAACAACAAAATGCTTGACGACAAAAAGCATTTTTCAAGACGATGCTGTGTATCCACACAATAGGTGTGCCAGTGTTAGAATGCATGAGCGTGGAGTCCAACAGAATAGAGGCTCCCCTTAATGGCCAGGATTGTCAGAGCTCGTTTGGGCTAATCACATGTAAACGAGGGTCTCCCACGTGCCGTGCGGGTCAGGGGTTCGTTTGACCATACTTCACCACGCTGGTCAGTCGGTTGGTGAAGGCACACAGCATAGATGTGGGAGCTACACGCTTGAACTCATCACATATCTGAAGCTACTCCAGGGTAGCTTCCGAGATCTTTGCTTGGACGGATGGGCGACCACGCACAAAACAGGCTGTTATAGTCTGCGGGGTGACTTCACGCAGCACGTGGCGATTGACCTCAATCAAACCTTACAGGTAATTCAATGCACGTATCCTGAGCGTTAAGAATCGGTTATAACTGACGAATCGATGCATCGCTACACGCCTGCTTATTTACATTCTGGATAAGGCCATTTCATTCTTTGCCATCATCTTCCAACTCGTCTTTTAAGAGCTTTTATCTCGGATGCGTGTACATATGCATCTGCCCAAGGCTGGGAAACGAAAGATGCGAAATTGAATTGTGCAAGACGTGGCTGGGAATGAACGAGCAAACCGCTCTTTGAATGATCTGCGAACGGATCCGTGAATGATTTGTGCGAGACAAGAAGGACGCAGCGGCATCGTCACCCGTCAAGTTGAGATTCGAGTTCTCCGCCTTCTCAAAGATCACTTGCGTGTTCTGGTAGCTGACACCCGTCAGGATCTGAGCACAGAGCGGACATCACAAGCACTTTGTCAAGGGCCATGGACGCGCCCCGTGGCAATTTCAGCGCAATCGATCATTGCTGGCGATCATCACCGGCAACAGCTGCCGGTCCCGTCCGCTGCCGTAAGAAAATCTAAGTTGCCAAAATGTTCCCCGAGTTCAACAACTGCGATGGCGACCTTCCGCAGAGACATTAACGAGGCATGAGGAGGCCCAGTCGGTGGAAGCCGCGCGCTACGCACGCACAATTGAGTCCTTTTAGCCCTTTAAAATGACGATTTGCACTTTAATTTTTATTGGTGGAGATATTTTACGGTTCAGGAGTCAGCGGTCAGGTGCTGGGGGTCAGGGTTCACGCTTGGGACGCCTGTCGTCGAAATGTTTTATATTCAGTGGGGCGATAGTTTGGCGGGTCAGAGTTCACGGTTTACAGTCGTAGGGTAATTGTTTCGTGAGTTCTCATTTTGAGAGGGGGTCACGGGGCAAGGGAGGTATTTTTTGGTCATTATCGAGGTTGCCCAGGCCAGGATTAGGTGTCAATGTGGGTTCAGGCGGACGGTGTAGAGCAGCGGGAAGGACGAGGTTCCTTACCGAGGGCCGCGTAGGACCTTAAGCGGGCTAACTACACGTCAAAAACTGTTGGGGCAAGTGCTGTTAGCAAGCACCTATAAAGGCCAGCTTGGAACACGAGGGGGTGGATGGCCAGCACGATGCCCGGCCACCTTTGTCTCCTCAGTGGCGATGTTTACACACTGCACCAGGTACTCATTTAAGGCTTAGTCGTCCTAGGGGAGGCCAGGACCGGTTCAGATAATTGTCACTGGTGTTGGCCGTGAGCGAGAATCGAACTCGGGTCGCTGGGTTTGTTGCGTAGCGCGCCTAACCGCTACCCTTCCGCTCCCCAACCACAAGTCAACACACACACACACAGACTTGTCACTTCTGTAATCACAACACGACTTAAGCATGCAATAAATTATCAAGACAGTGTTGCCAGGTTCGGAAATATTCACCTATAGCGCACGATTAACGCAGCTAAATTATTTGCAGTCAGTCACGGATTAATATCACGACGACGCTGTTTGGTTTGTGCGGCATTGTTCGGCACGATGTCCGACGTTTTGCTCCATTGTGCTGGCAGCTTCTTCAGGAACTGAATACTGAACAAAGGAGCTGAATTTGCAAGGCCCCAGGACGTGGAACGGATCGTCGGCCGTCACCCTGAACAAGGCACGGTACGACCGGGCAACTCTGGGATTTCAATAGCTGTTTCAAAGCAGAAGGCCTCACGTGACCACGGACTGCATGAAATGAAGTCACTGGCCACATCGGGCCCAAACTGTTACAGATTTCGCACCCCTGCTTCACAGAGACAAGAACCTCACCTTGTTTTGTTTGCTGCTGGTTGCATCGCCCTTGAGGATATTTGGGTCCACGGCCTCAATTCCCTTCACTATCAGCCCAAACAGCTTTCCGGCAAAGCTGAACACAAGCTGCGGACGCACGGTGGGTTTAAGGTGGTCGTTAATTACGCGCGTGCAGAGCAAACAAAAGGCAGCGCAGCACCGTGCGTTCGTGGCCGAGCAGCACGCATCAATCAGCGCGCCGCCACTCGTAAACGCCGCCGCCCCGTGACGGTCGGCAGCGACGGTGGCGGCGGCGGCGGCAGTGTGATCACGCACAGACGGGAACGGTCAGAGCCAAATTATCCCCGAGACGAGACCGAGGAGCAAGCGCACGCCTCACATTCATCATCGCCGCCACCGTCAGCCACGCTCAATACACCGGTGGATGAAGGCCTCCTCCCAAGCTGCCACCACCTCTCACGACGCTGTGATGTGATCATCCGCCAAGCACCTCTTGACGTGAGCAGAGTTCGTCGGCCACTTTTAGTGCTCATGTTTTTTTTTTTCAAACGAGCCGCAAAAGCAACAACGCTTATTTCAAAACATGGTTGGTGTTTAAACGCTATGACCGCAACCACAGCTTAGTCCGCTACAACCCCAACACACACAGAAACAAAGATCCCCCATGGAGCCTTAACAGACTGTTCGGGGCAAGTGCTGTTAGCGAGCATCTATGAAGGCCGGAATGGCACACGAGGAGGTGGGCAGCCAGCATCACACCCAGCCGTCTTTGTCTCCCCAGTGGCGATGTTTACACACTGCGCCAGGTACTCATTTTAGGCCGAGTCAACCTAGGGGAGGCGCAGGTCCAGTTTAGATAATAGTCACCGGTGTCGACCGTGAGCGGGTATCGAATCCAGGTCGCCGGGTTCGTAGGTCAGTGTGCTGACCGCTACACTACCGCTGCCCACAACACACAGACACAAAGATAAAGATCCCCCGTATAGCCTTAACAGACTGTAGGGGCAAGTGCCGTCGCTAACACACACACACACGCGCACTCACACACCTGTTGGCCCACGCTGAACGACTGGCTGATGAACTGGCCAACAAAGTCCGTGGCCATTTTGTCCGAGTCGTAGGGATTCGAGTCGGCCGTCTTCTTCTGCAGGAAGTCGACCTCGATGGTCATGGCGCCGATGCTGTTCTTGGTTTTGTCAAACTCAAACGGCTCCACTGGGGAGAGGAGAGCGAGGGAGGCGAGGGGGGAGATGGGGAGGGAGGGAGATTACACTCGTGACCGCGCAGGACCAGGGTGGCTCATCAACTGAAGAGGCATGTGACTAGAAGCCACAGCCATAGCGAGCTGCATACTGGAGGTATACTGGATGTGGTGTGCCGGGTGTGGAAATATATTGCAAGTGGGCAGTCCGAGCCGTTTGTGCGCGATGCCCTGCTGGTTGCAACAATCGCTTCTTCAATAATTTACTGACCGGGCGGTAATGTGGTGGTGGTGAATGATTACTAATCGGAAATGTCGGAATACATATTTATACTTTTTTTTTACTTTTAGTTCGAATTGCATTATCAACATCATGTCTTGAGATGAAGTACCCATTCAGATTTCTCGCTGAGCAATGCAATTCTCTGTTGTAGACAACAAATCACAGAAGTAGACATCACAGAACTACTTCTGAGATCCCTTCAAGTGACCTCTAGTCCGCACAGTAGGGAGCAGCAGCACTTTCCCACTCACTCTGAAGAATATCACAACACGTAAAATAAATTACATTTTTATTCATAAGAACTGGAATTTAGCCACGTTAAATTCAATCCAAATTTTGTGCGATTTTATTTATTTGGCAATCGGGTCGAGACCATCATCACCTCACTCCAATCGAGAGAACCTGGGTGTAATTGCAGGCAGCCGTGGAGACATACCAAGGACCTACTCAGTCATGCTGTCACCTTCTGGAAGGTCGGGAATCCAAATTCCAGTTGATTTTTCACAAACACAATTCCACACGTGTCGCGAACTCAATAATCGATTTTATTCCACACCAAGTTTCTCTGGGGGTGGTAATGCCCCCCAACAAGACCACGCTAAGCTCCTGTAAGCACTGGCGTATAATCCGGATCACGATACCGCTTTTGACCATCGTGCCACCACAAATCCCGATTTTTCCGGGTACCGACCGCACGCCCCACCGTCGCATAACGATGGCCAGATGTTAACTACTTTCCCTGGTATACAGGTCGTGGATACAATCCCAACCCTCAGGCCTGTATATATGGAGTTTGCATGTCTCTCTCCTCACTGTCGCGTGGATTTTTCTTCAGGTCCTACAGTTTTTCCTTCCACATTTAGAATCAACATGCATTTAGAGTATTTGGGTGCTATACATTTACACATAAGCCACTTCATTGGGCTATCACTTGTGTCCAAGTTACTTCTGAAAAACAGCTATATATCTCAGTGGACCTTACCTGGTAAAATAAACAGTTTAGTTTTTTTAAACGGTCGCAACGCGCCACATGTGATGTGAAATACGCCGGCTATTATTGTAATTACAACGCTTATTAACACAGAAAAAAGCTCAATGATTCTCAAGACTCTTTTTACCGGAGGATCCTGCTAGGTTTTCGCAGGACGGTGAGCGTCGATTTCTACGTGTTTTCCGATAAAGTAATTTTCAGTAGTTTTTTTCTCATTTTCCAAAATTTGCACCATGACGCAGGCACGCAATGGCCTAGGCTTTTTCGAATGATGTCACGGAGCTCTTTCATGTCTAGATTGGAAGCTTTCGTGACTGCAAGGATTCATACTCTTAGGTTTTTTCGGTAAAGTCACGTAGGAAAAAATAAATAATACAAATAAATAATACAAATAATAACAGAAATAAAATAATAAATCACGACGTTTCGGAGGCAACACAAGTCTCCGTCATCAGGTGGGACCGTCACAGCTAGATTTACTGTCTCAAGTGAGACAGTGAATCTATTATTTCTATTATATTTATTATTTATTTTTACCTACGTGACTTTACCGAAAAAACCTAAGAGTATACTCTTTCATGTCCACTGTGATGCAGATGGTGCATGTTATTTTACAGTTGATATACAGCCACAGCATTAACCAGGGGGGTGGCCCGTGAGGGTACGAATCACGAACCTCTGCCACAATTGCTGAGCGCACTACAGCTGGGCCAGGTCCAACACTCCACGTGACCAGTCACCCCTCTTGCTGTCACGGTTCGAGACTGTGATTTGACTCAAGATTTTTCTCGTCTAATTTTGCACCTCCTGATGTAGACTAGTTCAGAAAGCCACTCGCCACTCGTGTCAGCCGCGACAGGGAATCGAAACTGAGGTTCGGCGGGTTCACAGCGTATCGCTAGAACCGCTCGGTGTTTTTACGGAGGACAAATACAAAAATTGAGAATACCTTGCACATCTTGTCCCAGTGACAACCCCGCCCATTTCCTCTGTAAAACCACAAGAAACAAATGACAATAAATACTATTACAATTTTGCACGTGGCTCGATACAAATTATAGCAGTCTGGATCATTGTTGTGGACGTGAAGTTAGGTCCAAATATCACTGAGTAGAAACACTTCCACATCTTGTCAACGGCGCGCAGTGTCCTAAATAAAAGCTCACTTGCTCACAACACAAGCAATATGGATACAAGGGTGAGCGAGCTTCCTGCTTTGGCGGACAGCCACTTAAGACCGATGGAATCAGTGTTCAAATAAGCTGCGTACTGAGCATTTCACACATTATAAACATACGAATTATGTGCTACGTTTAAATTTAATGCGTACTAAGCCGCATGGTTATTTTGCCGTGCAGCTTAATTCTTCGTTTTAGAAAATGTTTTATTCACAGATCTTGTCCTGATGACTTCCTGGATCTTGTCCCGATTACGTTTGACGTACTATCAAATGAGACGTCGTATCCCAATTGACTAAATTTGGTTGCGAGAATTGTTCTTAAACTTACCCTGCGAGCCGATTTAATAATAATGAGTGCGATAAACGCTTGCACGCGCAACGGCTAAATCTGTTTGGCTGCTTCGGGTGCTGGCGGGACCTTAACGCAACATTTGGTCAGATCATGCAAAGTGGCCGAACCTCCAAAAGATAAATGATTGTGAATCAGCTTTAAGTTCGCGTGACAGAGAAAAACTTGAGCGCCCTCCTGCCCGTGCGCTGGGGAGGGAGGGGTCGCCGGTGCCTGTGCTGGCGCTTACTTGGGGTAGGCTGAAAGCGATGGTCCCTGGCACTACAGAGTGATGGCTCTTCAGCGTGAACACGTAGCGCTGCCCTGGGCCCGTGATCACCGCCACGTGACTGAGAAGAGAAAGAGGAAGCAGTGAACAAACGTTCAAGTGATTTCCTGCTCAAATGAGCATCGAGGCGATGATAGTTTTCTGTAAACAGCCTTGCGCCAGTCGTGGAAATTCCATGAGATGATGGGCTGAGTAACCCGTCAGCTAGGATCTGAATTTTCCGATTGTGAGCTGCTCTCTGACCAGGTGACATAGCATAAAAACAACAACAAAAATATTCAGAAATTGTCTGAGCTAAGAGCTCTGACTTCCACTTTTATTTTGTCAGATACGTTTTGCTTCCACTGCAGGCATTGTTGTGTTTTTACTACAATTTTGTGTTTAAAAAGGCCGGAATACTGCGGATGGAATTACATCCGTCGGCATGGAATCAATCGGTACAAGTTGGAATCATAAAGCACCTAAATGGGACCACATCTGAAGCTGCTATGCAAATAGGGAAATGAGTGAATCGAGAATATATGAACATTTCTTGTCCAGGCCAGGGAGGGAACCAAGACCAGATTGTGGTAGACATGCGAATTACACTTCAAAGAGACACTTCATGGGCAGGTCACATAGTGGACGTTAAAGACCCTGTAGCATCATTCACACGCGTGCTGGAGTCACGGTCCAACATAGGCAAAATTCGAAAATATTAAAAGCAGATTTCCTAACCGGGTAATACCGCATAGCAACATCGTTCCCTACCGGCAGATTTTATTGGATTTAACAGTTAGGCTTTCGCGACCAATATTAGTCATAATAAGTTTTTTTTGGGTTAGATCGCATAAATATGTGTCTATTGCGCATGTTGCAGTCGAAACGTCGTGAGAATTTTTATTGTTTTATATTTATATTATTTTATTATTTCCCTTCTACGTGACTTTACCGACCGAAAGAACCAAGAATATAAATACGTGTCGTTAGCCCACTACCACCTGACACAGCCAATTAGTAAGGTTTGTCACGTTAACAAAACATGTGATTTAGTAACTACTTCAGAAAACCGGTGTGTTGGAGAGTAAACCCACAACATTTACAATTCGAGTACGACGTTTCGCTGGTGATTACAACCAGCTACATCAGGCGATTTTGCCAGAATGTGAAGAAGTCTTCCTGTTTCCGGTCTGAAATAAGAGTAAGGTGATCGCATCACTGTGAGCCTATCAGGTGCAAATATCAGAAAGGGGTTAATGTGATCATATTAATAACAATGGGTTATGTTAATCTGAGAATGTTCAATCGTTCTTCTTGGTTCTTTCGGTAAAGTCACGTAGAAGGGAAGTAATAAAATAATAAAAAATAAAACATAATAAAATAATTCTCACCTGAGGACGGCTGCTTGTGCTGTGGCCGAAACGTCGTGAGAATTATTTTATTATGTTTTATTTTTATTATTTTATTACTTCCCTTCTACGTGACTTTACCGAAAGAACCAAGAAGATGAATCCCTGCAGTCACGAAAGCTTTAAATCGAAATGTTCAATTGGTCTGTGAACCACAGCAATTCCGAGATACGTCTCGCACCGAAAGGATGGTGCGGACGCTGCATGCCCTCGCTTTTGCTGCGGTGGAAGCGTTGCGTTTGATTCACTCACATGGACTTGAGGTCAGACTCGTGGACGACGGCGCAGTTCGTGATGGAGAGCTCGTCCGTTGGGCATCTCGCCGCTTTCATCGCCTGTGACAAAGCGAACAACAACAGCAGCAGCAACAAACATCATCAGCATCATACATCTGCCATGCTCAATCGACTGCTGGTTAAAAATGTGCACAACATTCACATCGTTAGACTGCATTCGCATCATCAACTGTGATGTACAGAGCACAACATTCAAAATAATAATCAACAGCCATGGTCTATCCACTACTGGATGAAGACTCACTTCCAACAGCACCGGTCTCTCCACTGCTGTTTGATGGCCTCATCGTCACCACCCTCACTCTCATCATGATATCCATGTTCTATCCACTGATCGTTGAAAGTATTCCCATGCTGTAGTTATCCTCAATGGTCCTGCGATGGCAAAATCTGAACTGACATCATCGCTCCATTTCCATGGGGCTCACCTTACTTAGCCATGTCGACAACACCTAATAGCTAACAACGTAATTCATGGGGCATATCTATTGTGTATCCTTCTACTTCTTTCGTATAACAGACGTAGACGCACAGCAACAACTACAATTCGACATTCAGGCCAGAGGTCGCAATTGGGTATCCGATACCCGTACCCTACCCGATACCCGGCTACCCGTACCCGGCTGGGTACGGGTACCGGTTTGCGACCCTGGTGCGGCCGGGTACGGGTAAGGAATCAAAACCCGTTTGCGACCTCTGATTCAGGCTGGTCAAGTCAGACAACCGCGTCAGGAGCAGCGGAGTGTTTCACTGTCGATGTCTCATATTCTTGGGTCTCATATTCTTTGGTCTTTCGGTATTTGTGGATCGGGGGGCGTTGCGTCGTGATACGTTACACGGTCTGCTCTGGATGACCACAGTCGCACTGAAAATGCAGGAATAACAATGCCAATGACCAAAACCACTTGTAATGCGCTCGATCTTGGACCCTAACTTGGGGATGGGCACGGGCACGGCCACCACAGTGCATACAACACGGTGCTGTAGGCTGATGCGTGATTCTACTACCAGCAGAGGTCACTGCAGAAAAAAATCTATACTTGCACTGCACTGTGCTTCCATTTCCCCCCCACCAACCCACCTTTACCACCACCAAGAGTGGTGAAGTATGGTCAAACACCACCCCCTCGCATCCAAATCCGCTCCCACGACCGACAGCAGTGGAATTAAAAAGGGCTGGACGTTGCTAATCCTCGTTACGTTGATTGTCACGCCACGTCAACATCTTCACAAGCCGACACGAGAGCAATGCCCGGTGTGGTGAAGTATACCGGCACGTCACATCATGCGATATAGAACGTGGCACCGTCCCCCACTCTTATATTCTCTTCTGTTTATATTATTTATGTTGATATAGCGCGCCTTGTACGTCGTTTGTCATTCAAAACACGTCAGCGGACGGACACACTCGCTGTTGGGTTACTCTCGTTACAATCTAGATTCGAAGCTTTAGCGGCTGCAGGAATCCATACTCTTTGGTGCTTTCGGTGAAGCCACGTCGAGGTAGAAAATAAAATAAATCGACGACGTTTCGGGCGCAGCAGAAGCGTCCGTCATCAGGTGGGAAAGCGCGGTCTGTTGCTTGCCGAGGCAGACTGCTGTTACAATGTTGTAGTATCGGTGTTTTTGATTGTTTAATTACAGCAACATGCCGATTTAAAATTCCGCACATCGCGATCGATAAATGAGAGGAGGGGGTCCATTCATAAACACGTCAACAAACGCGAGCAAACCGATCAGATCCGGCCAGCGGGTCTCTCCGCGACAAATACATTTTTTTCACGTGTGTATATTTCACTCGAAATGGCATTATTGTTGTTATGGTTATGTGTGATCGTTCTGACAGGTGACAAAGTCTTCAATTGTGGACCGAGAGGAGCGCTGAGCAAACACTCACCCGGGGCGCCATGTTTTTCCGCAGTGCGGTAGTGGAAGGAGCGCCACGTGACCACGTAACCGCGTGACGTCGGCCCCGGCAAGCCCCTCCCTTGCCCCGCCCCCTTCCCAGGGTCCACGAGTTCGATTCCAGCCCCGGGAGTGCATAGCAGCAATATATTTTAGAATTATTTCTGTTTTTAATCCTTTATATTAAGTTCACTTGCTTGCTTGCTTGCGCGCTTACGACCGTGCAAATCTTTCGGTCGTTTTTTAACCCACTTCCCGTGATCCAATCGAGCTGACATTTTGCACACAGACTCGTTGTGCGTGACAATTTATTTTCGTGAAAAATGTTTTCCTATATTTTCCACTTTTTAGGAATTGTCTTTTTTCATATTTTATTTAAAATACCAATGTGATAAAAATGAAATTCTTACTCAAGAAAAACAGAAATGAATAATAAAATAAAACCGATGCCACGCATATAAAGGATTTATAGTGAAAAACTTAGTTTTTACGGGTTAATTTTTTATTAATTAATAATTATAATTAACTCATATAAAATACTGATTTGTTTAGTATATAGGGCGTATATAATATTTTGTATTAACTGATGTAAAATAATAAGTACGTCTAATGTGTTCGGTATGGTATCGTATGTACAATGCATCAGAATCAGAATCTCTATTTAAGCTGGAGAAATCCGATGAGCTATGAAGCTCTTTTCCACAGGCGTCCAATAGCAGCACAAAGACAAAGATCCCCCGTATAATCTTAATCCGACTGTTGGGGCAAGTGCTGTTAGCGAGCACTATGAAGGCCGGCACGGCACACGAGGGGTGTGAGTGGCCAACACCACGCCCGGCCGCCTTTGTCTCCCCAGTGGCGATTTTTACACATCGTACCAGGTACTCATTTGAGGCTGAGTCGACCTAGAGGGAGGCCTAGGACCGGTTCAGACGATCGTCACTGGTGTTGGCTGTGAGCGGTAATCGAACTCGGGTCGCCGAGTTCGTAACGCAGCGCGCTAACCGCTGCTCCAGATTAAACAACAACCGCCATTCGCCACTAAGTGGTGGTGACGTCACCACGATGCTTGTGCCAGGCTATGTGCACGTTAAGGTCACGTGAAGTGTCGAATGTCCGCTGGAAGGAGGTCTCACGGGACAGACCCAGGTGCCACGGGTCGACTGACTGAGATGACTGGCCGATGCCCCACCTGTGCCCCCTACTGTGCCAACTTGCTGTGTTTCGCTCCACTGCCCTCCGTTGTTGCTGGAGGGCGACTGCCTCCAACTGCCCAGTAGTGTCCTTCACGAGCCTCCTCCACAGAGGCCGATCTTGACACCGCTGGTACCAGTCGTCGGCAAGTCCACTCAGCTCCACGTCCTCCTGTACCACATCACTCCATCTCTTCTCTAGCCCGTGCCTTGCCTGCATGCGGTGCTTGGGCGTGCGGGCTCCATGATCCAGCCAATGCAACCTTGCCTGCTGGAGGAGCTCACCAATGGGACTTTGTCCAGATCTTTCAAGTATTTGTGAGCTCCTCACACAATCCAGCCTGCAGGTTAAACCCAGGGATCGTAGGCAGGCCAGCCTAAATGTTTCTACTCTCAGGTTTTTTCGGTCAAGTCAAATGACTTTCAGGTTTTTTCGGTAAAGTCACATGACTTTACCGAAAAAACCTGAGAGTATGAATCCTTGCAGTCACGAAAGCTTCAAATCTAGAATAAATGTTTCTAACCAGCGAAGATGTTCCATTAAGGGGGTCCACGTTTCGCGAGCGTAGAGAAGGGAGGAGATGACCGTGGCTGAGAAGACCCAAAGCTTTGTGTGGAGCGACAGACCACACAGCCGATGATTCGGAGTGAGACCTCTGCTGTCAAACTGGTGATGGCCTGAGAGAGGGAATGTCAGGACATGGTAATGAACCCGGCAGGGCACGTGACCGGAACAGAGGAATGAAAGGAGCCCGAGGGGGGCTTGAGGGACACGTGACGCTTGGTCGAGATCCTTCAGGAAAGGTCTCGAAGGGGGCGTTGTCGAGGGCGGAGCGAGGCCACGCCCAGTGGCATAAAGGGGCAGTCCCCAGGGTGTTCTTGGCTGTTCTCTGGAATCAACCTTCGGCGTCACGTCTCTCCGATCTTCAGTCTCCGCTCGGCATCGTGGGTCAGTCAGGACGTTACTGACTGACCCGGTTATGTAGTTACCCTGTTGGGGTCTAGAGTGTGTACGTTGATGTATTTAGCCCTGTTGGGGCTGTGTAATAAACGTGTTGCCTTCAAGTCAAGTGTGTGCCTCCGTGTTCAATACCACACTAGTAACGAATTGGCACGTTCTCTTCACGTGATAAACCTTACTAATTGGCTGTGCCGGGTGGTGGCGGGTTTAACGACACATTTATATATTTACGCGATCTAACCCAAAAAAAACCTGTATTATAGCCTGTCACTGTGAGCCTGTCTCTCCCTAACCCCAATACACTGTGCAACTAAAATACTACAAATAGTCATAGCCTACATATGATTGTACACGGGGTTAAAAACATCCGTAAGAATTTCAGTAAAAGTGAGCCGGTAGGAAGGAGGAGGGGACCCACAGTCGGTGTTTTGCAATTGCCATCTCGTGGAAATAGCTCGAAGCGCCCCTGCACACCACCCAAGGGAGAGGATCTCTCTCGAGCAGCAGTCCATCCTGCAGGCCACGTGGCCACAGCACCAGGAGGTTCTTCGATGAAGAGCGGAACTCCCAGAGGCAGTGGCTGGGGGGTGGGGGGGGGGTCTGCGCTCTGGGCCCACCCGGAGGTGGTTTGGGGTCGCTGGAGACTTGCACGGGCGCTCCGTACGCTTCAGCCTGGCAGGGTAACACATTCCTGCGGAGGGAGCTGGTAGGAACGTTGGGTTGCTCGGTCAATGGCCAGGGTCAACAGCGGCGTGGTGTATTCCGCAAATATGCCCGACTGTGAGGGCAGGCACAAGCCGGCGTGAGTAGGTTAAACGTTGAGTTTTATAAGGGCACCACGGGGTGACCAGTCCCTCCCCACCCAGCCCCATCCCTCCCACCCCCCACCCAGCCCCACCCTCCCCACCCAGCCCCTCCCCACCCGTTCCACCTAGCCCCTCCCCACCCAGCCCCTCCCCACCCCCCCTCCCCACCCAGCCCCTCCCTCCCTCCCCACCCAGCCCCTCCCTGCACGACGAACGGACGGACGGACACAATAAACCCCTGTGGGCTGGTGGAACCAGTGGGTTCCTACCAGTATAAACCCCAGGGTGGATGCTAGGGCAGGCTGAGGCTGAACGTGTCCACTCGAGCAGCGGATATTAACCTTTACCGCACGATACTCTTTGGTTCTATCAGATAAAGTCACGTAGATAGAAAATGAATAGATCACGACGTTGAGATCGCAACACAAGTGACCGTCTTCAAGTGAGAGAGAGATCAAGCTACTGAGACAAGGTCTTATATGGGCCTGAGCTGGGTGCAGCCTCGGGGGAAGATGGCAGGGCTAGAGATGGTCTGCCCGAGGCTGTGGAAGTGGCTATTGAAGACCATCTCAGGCTTATATAAGCCCTCGTTTCAGTAGCTTTCTCTCTCTCAGCTGAAGACGGTCGGCTCGTGTTGCGATCCAAACGTCGTGATCTATTAATTTTCTACCCACGTGACTTTACCGAAAGAACCAAAGAGTATGGATTCCTGCTGTCGCGAAAGCTTCAAATCAAGATTTACCGCACGAGTTTCTAGCGTAAGGCCAGGCCGACTTAGGGGATTCTCGTGACCGGTTCTGATAGTCATCACCGTTAAGTGGCCGTGAGCGGGCATTGAACTCGGGTCACCGGGTTCGTAGCGCAGGGCGTTAACCACTACACTACCGCTCCCCACTATTACATAAAGACAAAGACCCCCCCTGCCCATCCGTTTAGCCTTATCAGACTGTTGGGGCAAGTGCTGTTAGCGAGCACGTATGAAGGCTGGCACGGCACACGAGGGGGAGGCTGGTCAACACCACGCCAGGCCGTCTTTGTCTCCCTAGTGGCGATGTTTTTCACACCGAACCAGGTACTCATTTGAGGCTGAGTCGACCCAGGGGAGGCCCAGGACCGGTTCAGATAATCGCCACTGGTGTTGGCCGTGAGCGGGAATCGAACTCGGGTCGCCGAGTTCGTAGCGCTAACCGCTGCCCACCCCCCCCCCCGACACACACACATGTATACACTCACACGCACCCAAACCACACACACACACACCCTTAATGTCCCAGTTAGTGTTGAGACGGCTCCGCTGACAGCCGTAACCCCCCTCCCCATCACTGATTCTCACCGGGGACCACCCCACTCCCACCCACCCGCCCCCCCCCCCACAAAGACAGGAGAAAAAACTCGAGCAGAGACCACCCATTGATGAAGTGACCCCCCCCCCTCCCTCACCGCCCCCCCTCCCCTCGACCCCCCATCATCGCTCCGTTGCTACGACTTGATCAAGCATGCGGCATTAACGACGCAGGCGTCAGAGTGGCGCCCTCCATCTCTCTACCACATTCAACACCCCCCCCCCATCAACCATTAGCATCCACCACCACCACCACCATAGTCCCCGTGGTTTCATATATCATCATCATCAGCATCAAGCCGCAGCACCACCGCCACCATGGCCCCGCCCGCCCCATGAACGTCGATCAATCACTCGCCGCTTGATGGCTTCATCCGAAGGAGCGGTGGCGATTTCTCTCCCGTGGTGTCGTCTGGCGGGACTTTTTGCGCCCGCGCCTTCTTCGGCATGACGTCCGACGTTTCGCACCGCGAGCTCCTTGTGGAATGTCGCGCCCTGAAGGGAGCGCGTTTCTTTTCTTTTATTTTGTTTTTCAACGGGTGGAGGTCGCGTGGAGGTGCGGTGGGTGCGCTAAGTGCGTCGCTATGGAAGCCGCCCGGCCCCGGTTCGATTCCCGCTCGCGGCCAACGTCCGTGACGAATATCTGCACCGGTCCCGGGGGCCTTCCCCTAGGTCGACTCAGCCTTAAAATGAGCACCTGATGAGGTACGCAAACATCACCACTGGGGCGTGGTGTTCGCCACC